AAATTGAACAATACATATACTGATATAAAGTCGTCTATTGTATATATAATTTTGATTTAAAAATTTACATACAATAAGCTTTCTATCTTTGTTCTTGACTTTATTTGTTAAATGCTTTTATTTTTAAGTTTATCGCATTCCAGCAATGATTGAGATAGGGCTTTTTCAAAGGTTAACCTTGTCAAAACAGATATAACAAATAAATACTGATATAATGCCAGAAAATGCTCCAGAATTATGTAAGTAGTTTAAGTTAATGTAGCTGCAAATATGCTTAAATATACGAATAAAAACATGAAAGTAAAATTTATAACGATCATTTGTAATCTATACATATAAAATTACTTGTCCTGACTGACTCATTCACTCACTGATTCATCATCGCCCAGAGCAAACCGCTGAACCTAGAGGTGAAATTTGGTACATAGGGTACGTCATGAAAACGCTTACTAAGAAGGGATTTTTCGAAATTCCCCCGCGGGGGGAGAGGATTAAGTCTTAACCGGAAAACGACTCCTACTGTACTATTTTAGATGCGATTTTTTGTTACGTTTAGTCTTCATTAAGTACTTAAGTGTATTAAATTAATAACATTTAAGACATTGTTATAAATATTTTTATATATTTCGATTTTTTAACCAATGGTCGAACCTTTTTAAATTCGAATTTGTTATTGCGTATTGGTTCGATTATAGAACGATTGTAAACGTTCCAGAAAATTGATCAAATTGAAAATAGTTTGTTTGATTCTCAGCAATTCTCATTATTCTCGGCGGTAGGTGTTATATAACAATTACTATGGTTGTTGAAATACTGAATATAAATGGGGTTTGCTTGCTAAACCTCCGCGGGCGAAGTCGTTATTAACTTTTTACTAGTAATTTATATTTTCATACTCTTTTTAATATTTAAATTACATTTTAGATATATGTATAAATGTTTATTCTAGACGCGAGTATACAAGTTGCTATTGGAAAATGATGTATAGCCACAATTATCAAATTTTGATGTTATAAATCGCGATATCTCCAAAAGTTACAGTCACAGACTAAAAATTTATATGCCATTAGATTCGTCAGACGATTCTGCACTAGAATATGTATAGACATTTTAGATATATGTATAAATGTTTATTCTAGACGCGAGTATACA